TCTATTGTTCTCATTGTTACAAACAGTAACATATATACATGTACTATATGTACTGTATATATGTACTAATATACTTGTTATTCAATAAATACTTGTCCTAAAAATGTCTTTAACTCATTAAAAAAATTTTTATATGAAAAGGGTTAAAAATGGCATTGTGAAAATTTGAAAACAATTTTCTATTTCCTTTTTTTTAGTGATAAAAATAAAAAATGTGCTTTAAATATAAACTAAGATATAATAATTATTTTTTTAAATTTCAACAAAATGATACTTCGATCATGAGTTATAAAATATGCCAGTTGGATCTGTTCCACCGGTATATATAAAGGATTGTTTCACTATGATTCTCGCATAATCTTTGATATCATAAAATATATTATAATTTTTTCTTTTCAAAAGTTAATTGTATCTTATGTTCTACGGTTATAAAAAAAATCTTGGTCCTATCCTTTGCACTTAAAATTGTGTTCAGTTTATTTTTAAATAAAAACATATATGTTTAACCGATTTATATTTAAGAAAATCAGTGGTCATACATCTTTTAAATTAGTACTTCGTAAGTATAAACATTTTGATACTTAAACGGGAGTAGAGATGCGAGTGAAAAATATCTAATGACAAATATTGTCATGCCTTGCCTCCAGTATATATTTTACAGTGATGTTAACGTCCAAATTAATGGGTCAAATTTGTTATCGACCAGTCATTTTCTTAATTATATCATTTTATATTTTATAAGCTAGTTAAATATGTATGTTATTAAAAAATAAAGTTGATACCTATGTAAGATTAAGGGAAAATGTTAAGAATATTTAATAACTAAAAAATACAAAAAATAATTTTTTTAACAGAACACTAATTTTAAAAGAAATTGAGTGGCTAAAAAAATTACCGTATACGAAGGTATTTCTACAAACAGATAAATCATATACAAATTTTTCTCTAAGAATAGTAACTATATAAGTATTATATTCATAATATTCATAATATTACACTATATACATTATGTTACATACGAAAACCTATCTATGCAAACACACAAGCACAATAATTCGTATGTATATATATATATATATATATATAGTATAAATGTAATGTTCAAAAAAAAAATGAGACCTTTGACGTCTTCTTTTGTAACATAAAATTTTTTTTATAAACACAGCAGTTAACATAATTTAGCAAAACCTCGCTTCTGAAACGAATTGTGTAATTTATTTTTATATAAGTAATTGCTATTGATAATTCATAGCAAGATATTTTTTGATTACATCTAATACAAAACTAGTACTTATAACTAACCAGGCATCGTCAAAGATATAATATTTAGTAGCTTAATCTAATCAAATATGTGTTGATTATCATCTGCGTGTAAAAATATCTTACTAGTAGTTCACGATTAAATCTAATCAGAACATTTTTTAATAGACACTAAAATAATTTTTCATTGTAAAAACTTTTTTTTTGCATATTATTGAGTTTTTTTAATCAAATAATTTTTCTTATTAATGAAATAATAAGAGTCTTTACCAAAATAGATCGCCTTGCATAAGATCCAGGTTATTAAAATTTTGAAAAATTATTTATATTATTATTTAGTATAATTTTAATTTTAAATAATATTAGCTACAAATGATCAATTTGTATTATATAATCTTTACTTAGCACAGAATTTTATTTTTATGTTAAAATGTAAGAAAATTTTAATATAATACATTATGTTTATACATATTTTAATAACCTTTATACCATGTTTTGCAGCCATATTTTATATTCAAAAATACTGTTATATTGTCAAAATCAAAGCCCATCTTGTTTTATTACTTCATACGCATATTACTCGGAGTTGGCCTGAATTTAATTGTAGGTATTATATATTTTTCGAGCCCCTTTTACAACGTTCTCCTGTCATTTCCGTTATAATGTGTTTTATGGTAATTTCAATTTCAATTTTTAACAAACAAAAGACACAACAACGTTAGACCTGAACAGGGGCAGCGCATAAATTAATTTGGTAGTTTTTACTTAGATTTACAATTTTTGATTTAAATGAATAAAACACAAGAGATTATTTTTTGTTTATTTTACCTATATAAAGTACCTAATATATTGTTCATTAATAAAACTATTGAATTAAAATTCCATTAATTTTCTTGAATTAACTAAATAAAGTTCAAGGTCAAAGAAGTTTGATGATGACGATGATGAAATGTTAATTTTATGAAATACAAAATTAAAATACACTAGAATACAAAATTACAAGAAAAATATAATATTATTTTTAACGTGTATGTAGATAAAGTTTGCAGTAATCAATAGAACTCTATAATTAGTAAAATATAGTAAAATCATTGATGAATGAATGTTAATGTACATAAAAATTTACAAAGATAAATGTTACAGAAAATAAATGATGCAGCGAAATATAGAAGAAAAATTTAATTATTGTGAAGTTTCTCTGGTAATTGATTTATGAAATAATGTAGTAAATGAAAATAAAGATTTGTGTCTGTAAACTCAAACTAATCTATTTAAGTCTAAATAAAGATCAAGTACCTTAAAATATGACATGAATACCTAAATTAAAGCTTTGAATTAAAACATAAAAAATCTAGTAGTATTAACAACCTATTTAATGTATACTCTGATGTTAATAAAAAATTGTAATTATTTAACTAATAATTAGAAGGAATATAAATAACTAAATATTTATAAATAACTAAATATTCCATTGGATAAAATATAAAAAATGAATAAGGTTTGGTACAATGTCAATTAACTAGTCAACATTTGATTAATTATCCAATAAAATTATGACCTAGTCAAATTAATATCATTAAAAATCTGTATTTTAATTGTTCATTTTATTATACAATACGGTCGTATTGCACATTTAGTTGTTATTTTACGAAATAAATTACTTGGCCGACCCCAAGTAATTGGGATTAAGGTAAGAAAAAAGAAGAGTTGTTATTTTATGAAAGTTTTCGTTTTACTTTTTTATACTGGGTATTATTGCATTAAAAAAAATAAAAGTTAAGTTAGTTTAACGTTTTAACTAAATAACTAAATAAATAATTTTGGTTTTATTTTTTAACAAGTTAAGTTAGTTTTCAGTAATTGTAGTTAATAGACTATTTAATATAGGGCTCAAAAAAATAAAATTTTCCTGAAAAATTTTAAATAATAAAAAATAATTATGTATTGTAGCTACATGAAGGTCATACACTATCAATGTCTTGTACAGCAATAACAGAATTATGTTGTATTTAAGTTTTTGAGTAAAATATACAATAATAAAACATAATTTCCTTGTTGTAATTTTATGGTAAATAGATGGAATAGTTAGTAGTTCATTTTGAATAAAAAAATTCCATTTTATATGAACAGCAAACATTTATATTAGTATACTTAACGTAGATTAACAATTTATTATTAAAACCTAGAAACTTATAACTCAGCTTCATTTTTTTAGTCAAACTTAACATCACAAGTTATAAAAAATGATTAACTGTCTAGCCTGATTTTTAAATAAAAGAAGACTAATAGTTTGATTAACTATAGAGTAATATAATTTCATTAAATCATTTTTTGTTCAAACCCAAGATTATAGTAGTCACTACTTTACTATGGAAACAATAATATTTTAATAAGATGTCGTCTCTGGATGCTATTGGAATTTTATGAGCTGAACGACCTTCGTATTAGATTGCTGTAGCACTGTTGCCAAAGGATACTTTTATTTTTAAAGTCGTGTAAAACAAAATTGCCAAACATCTACTAATCGTGTACCATACAGCATTTTTGAAAAGTATTTTTAAAACAAAAATATATCCATTCTTAAACTTATGTTTAACTTAAAAGTTTGAGTACATTATACGTTTAAATTATTCTGAATGGAATTGTGTTCTCCGAAATGACATTATCAGAAGCCTTTTATATTACTGTTATTACAGCATATAAAATTCTACTGGGATCAATACTTTTATTCTTTTGTAGATATTATTGTTTTAAGTATATATGTACGTGTTACCATGTAACTAGTAAGTATGTACAATAAATAGTAAGTTACTCAGACACGAAAGCCTGTCAACAACGACAATGATAGTTATCATTTTCCAAAAAGTCGGAGAAATAAGGTAAAACATTAACCTCTCTTAATTGAGCCTCTATTGATGTTTTTTTCGCATCTAGATATTCTAAATCGCAAAGACTATGTAGTCTATTTTACCTTTGAGGGTTAAACAACAATGTTCTAGAAAGTAAGGTTATATTAAATGTACCGTAATCATATTTAAGTACTATACAAACTTTAAATTTCATGTCGTTTTGTGTTCTCATAGTGAGCTTTTTTCCACTCGTGCAGATAAAAATTAGTTTAGAGAATTAAGAGCATATAATTAGTGAGTCACTAATAGAGATACCTCTTAACTCTCACGTGTATAAGTACATCAATTTAAAGTTTTAACTGAAATTATTTTAATGTATATTTAAAGTCTTTTATAACAGTTTCAATAAGTTCAATGTTTAAATTGGATTAAAATCTTATTTATATTCAAACACAAACAAAAGAATTTTCAGTCTTAAAATAAAAGTTTGATTGACCATTGTAAAACTAAACTATAATTAGTATAAAAATTAAAACAATAAAAATTATATTAAAAGGATATAAGTAATAAAAAAATTATTTGATTGCCATAAAATTATATTAAATACAGAGTTTGAAATCTATATTCAAATATAACTAATACAAAAAATATTAGTCTAGAGTTTAATATTTTTTATAAACTAATATATATTGAATAATGTATCAAAACTTGTTTTCAAAACGAATTTTGAAAATCGTGGATATATATTTTGGCCTTTAAATATTTACCTTTAAATTTTTAAGCTATTAAATAATCCTTCCTTAAAATTCCAATAGAATTGGAATCATAAAAATTTAAGAAAATAGATCTATGAAATTAAAAATATTTTGAATTAAGCCAACAATTACTTACATGAATAAATTTATAAATTAACAAAATTTGAATAATTCGAGTTGTTTTCTAAAAAAAAAAAAACACTTTTTATTGCTGTTATATTAAGAGGTGTAAACATCGAGTTAATTTAAAATTAGCACTAGATATTTTATTTTGTGGCGTTTGGCCTTGCAGGCTGCAATGTTAAAAATAAATGAACAGGACGAAAAGAAAGGGAAATGTCGTATTTGCATTTATAAACTAATATTGTTGGATATTTTGTTTGGAAATTTAATGAAGGAGAATTATTTCATATCTTGAATTAAAAAACAAACGTGTATTAAATGTTATTTACTAATGAACGACTTTCACTTTTAATTTATAAATTGATTTTAGTATTCAAGTACATACTCAAATGATATTAATGTACAACTAATAAAAAGTATAAGACAAGTTTTACAAATATAAGATTCTCTGGATATAAAATATAATAATTTGCTTTTGTAATAAATTTATGCCCGCCAAAAATTTATCTTTCATTAATTAGTGTCGCCAAAAAAATATATAATGATTGCGCCATGTGTAATATTTCATCAATAATTATCAATACTAAATTTTGATTTTATACCAAAACAAAACTTTGAAAACTCAAATTAATCTCGATCTAATGCTACAAATAACATTGTAAAATTTGTTACAGAAATTAGTTTGAGAATTAAACTGAGATATTAGATCAATTTTTGATGCAAACTGCAATTTTAAATGAATAAATTAATTATTAAGAAGAAATATTTGTAAAGCCAAACAATTTTTTGGTTAATATTAACAAAACCGAAAATTAATTTGTACATGAAAATTTTTATTCAGAAACCAGTAAATATTGCTCATTGTAATCTTTTACGTATAAAACTTTAGAGTTAAGATAAAAAATTAAACGATCGCCCACTAATTTTTTATACGTCATACATATCTATTATTTTAAACCTTCAAAATTCAACATTTATATTTTAATTAAAAATTCTGAATACAGAAGAATAGGAAACTCTAGAAATAGCAGAAATATAAAATTTTTCTTGAAAACGAACTAGTTCAACATTAAGTTCCTTAAATAAAATATATACAAATTTAAGTTTAATTTCATCATACTAAACTTTTAAAATTAATGACCAAAAATTAAATAATCAAGAGATTAAATAACATTTTATAAAATAAAATTTACAATTTTTTTATGTGGGGTTTGTAAAATTTATCTAAAAAAAAATTAATACAGATTCATTGAGCTCAAAATCAAATGCATTGCATTCAAAATTCATATTTTTTATTCGAGAAAAATGCGATAACACTCATTAACATTTTTTTATAAAGCAGATATTGGTTGACAAGTATTAACCAATATTAGGAAACTGCTCCAAATTCATTTAAAAATTAATGAATTCGTATAAATGCATTCCATCCAACTTTGTTTTAATAATTGTGGCTATTTAATATTATTTTAATATAGTGGTACTAACCACGATATTTATAAGATTTTAGCATGTTAAAAAATCTTTGTTATCACGATAAGATTGGATTAACATTAACTATAAATTGAAGGTATTTATTTTTGTATAAACTTATATTGTAAAAGTCAAACAAATGAACTTTGCAAAAACGTTCACGTTCATAGAAATATAAACACGTTTATATAAGCGCATTCATGTGAATACTTTCTTCCCAGACACTAAATAATATTTTGAACTTAGGTATCCCTAAGTTGTAAAGACCAAAAAAAAATTTTCTCGTTACCCTCCAATTGATGTACCCAAGTTTCTTTTTATCTATTTATAAATATATGTTTATATATTTACATTATAGATTTTTTTTCTCGCTGTAATATTTTAACTACAATTACTAAAATCAAAACATATTACTATGTTTAAAGTAAAATACACATATTACATCGATGACATTGTAAACTCGCAATATTGAAAAACAGTAATTATTTATGCAATAATATAAGGAATTATTTCATTTTTCTTTACGTTTTTTTAAAAGATTAAAGAAATCTAGATGGGGGTTATAATATTATCACAAAAGATGGATACCAAAGCACCCCCTATTTACGCCTATAGATCTATTACATAGCATATTAGAAATATCTTAGAAAAATTTAGCAGACAAAAGGTCAAATTAAATAATCACTAAACTTAACAAAAAGTTTGTTTGAATTTATATTTTTTATCAAAAATTAATTATTCTAAATAAAGTAAACTTAAGTGGAATAAAGTTTCAATAATTAAACTTAACTATAAATAAGAAGTAATTTCAATTGAAGAGTTCAATTAAGTTACAGGTATTATATCAGATATCTCCAGTTTATTTTCAAAGAGTAATTTCAGATCCTATTTATTGTATTTGTTTATTAATAGTTATTGAGGTCTAACGATTGTTATTTTTGGTGGGCATTGATATCATAAAAATAGATCAATCTAAATTAGTTTAACACTTTTATTGTGTTTTAGTGACAATTTTACCTTATTTAAAGTTATAACTATACTTATTAGAGGTCTAGTGAAAACAAATAATTCATAGGCTCAATGAGCCAGACAGACACCGTTTTAAAATTCAATAAAAAATGATTGTATTATATATAAAAATTGTTCAATGAAATTTTATTTTATTTTTGAAAGACAAAATATTTATATCATTCTGTACCTATAAATTTATATGAAGAGGGGCTTTTTTATTCATTTATTTTTTAACATAATCCAAAAAAGTTCGACTTTTGAATATTCTAGATTAAGTCACACAAAATCAAATACAAACATTGTATCAATAAATCTGTGACAACAATATGTAAAAAGTATAATGTTTACTTACTAGTACTGTAGCGATGGTTTTATAGTATAAGTAGTAATGGTATTATTGTTAAACAGTCAAGTATTGTTTTTTTTCACAAGATTGAATAAAAGGTGAGAAATTGATTGGTTAACAACTATATTATTATTTGAGAATGTCAAATGTAAATAAAATAAAAACTTTTATAGTTCGTACACAGTAGTAAAACTATTATTACGACGCACTGGATGTTCGTGTTATTCGTTTGGCGACGAGCGAGCGTTTAAACAGGCGGGTAACGGCACCAGAACACCAGTTGGGAAACATTATATTGTTTACCGCGTGTATCAATAACAACCCACAGGGGGGGCGTAGATCTAAAGTGAAGAAATTGTTTATTGGTACAATTTTTAAATAAAATTATATCAATAAAAACTCCTAATCACAGTCGATCATCTCCTCTTCTGAAAACTCTTTATTCAGACAATGTATTTCATATAGACCAATTCCAAGATGGAGATTTAATTTATCAGAAAAAAATCAATTAAAAATAAATGACATATAAACATATAATTTATACAGAATTTCTTTTATTATAAAACAATATAATCAGAAATTATATAGTTAGAGCTTAACGTCTTTATGAACAATGGGTATACTGAAAGGAGATACAGAGAGATAGATTTTTCACAACAAAATATATTGCAAAGTAAAATAAAAATTTTTTGTTAGGAGGAATAGTAAAAAATTTTCTTTTGTATGTACGCCCAAAAACAAAATTTTCAAAACCTAATATTGTCAATCTTTATGTAAATATTCATCATTTAAAAAGCCCTTTTAAACAACGTTTATAGTTTTTTTTTAGTTTATGAGATCTGAATTAGAGATTTAATGAAAATATTGAACCTAAAAATAAAATTACTTTTTGCTCTTTAATGTATTTTATCTTATTTTTTATGAAGGACAATGGAAGTTTTTAGGTTATGTAATTTTTAGGCTTACCCATATGAATAATATACCCTTCTGGGGGGGGCTTATAGGTACATTGGCGTATTTGTCCATCTCAATCTAGTAAAAAACAGATTCAAACATTTTTACCTGCTTAGTCTGAATATTAGTATCCTTTTTTCAACAATGATGATCAAGTCAAAAACTTAAATAAGGAGACCTTCATTTTTATGGGAATTCTAATAAGCACTGTAAGGATGATTAGAAAGTATGCTAGACAGGAAAAAATGTTTTAGATTGATGTCTAGACTGATGTTTTAGATGTCATCGCAGTTATTCTTTCATTAAAGGTTTTAAAGTTCTTTCATTAATTCTTTCATTCAATACACCTCAGTTCAGACTTGAAATATAAGTATTATTATAAACTATTCGGGAGTAAAAACTACTTTATACTTCTATATTTCTCTTCCTTTGATTATTCTTATAAAACTGCTTATTCTACCGACATGCACAATCATATTGTTAAAATATCAACACATTAACTTAAAAACTTAGTTTTATAATTATCATTACCAAATATATTTTTGGATTATCAATAACATTGTTATAACTAATCTTTTAGTTTTCATAACATTTATACGAAGGTATGATGATTAACTATTATGACTTGGGCTCTTTCGATACTAGTATCGAATTTAAGTATTGATAACACTAAAATATCGAAAAAAAGTATGGATTCATTCTTATCTTTTTAAAAAAACTTTCGGCTAATAAACAATTTTATATAATCAAACTTCACTCTTTAAAGCCCTAAAAAAAATCAAACTTCAAAATTTTTTTATAAATTATAACGTAAAAAACATACAAAGTTCACAACTCAGATATCTTAAGTTTTTAAACATCTTTTTGATCAGTGATTTGTTAATGCATCTTATGACTATTCAAACACAAATTTATATCAGAGTTAAGAAACGAAATAATCTCGGTTTTGGTCATTTTTTTTATGAATAATAAATTAATTCATATTTATAGAATTTGTTTTTAGTACATGTTGAAAGAAGTTATATAAAGCCCGAAAGTATTATGCGTTTGCCTTTGAAATCTTAGTTAAACTTGAAATTTGATTAAAAAAAAATTTAAATACTAAAATTAACCTAAAAAAAATATTGGTTAATTTTTATTTTTGATCAACAAACTAAATTATACAATAATATGCATTAATGTTAGTCAATTTTAATTATTTTAATTCTAAGAAAATACTATGAATACTTAAATCGAATTATTAAACGTACTATAATATTGTGTATTAATTTTTGGAAATTTAATCAATATTATAATTTGTAATAGAAAACACTAAAATAAATCGATAAGTTTAATACACAAATTATAATATTATAGGAGATGTATTATTTCGGATAAAATAAGTGAGGAATAAAAAATTTAAATTCAAAAAAGTAAGAGAGATGCCATTCATCTGTGTCTTTTCACTTCGATAGCTAAATAGTAGTAGTTACTATAACTATTTAGATTAAACATAAATGTTGAACTATTAAATCTATAGTAGAAGATAAACAAAAGCGTAGTCATTGATATAAATTTTTTATTTAGATTGATAATATAAATCTATTTCGTTTCAATAATCATACTAGGGTATCGATTTATGTAAAATATCAATATCGTCGTTTCGATGCTAAAATTACAAGTATTAAAAGAAAATATCGATACTTTAGTTATATCGATAGTATCGTAACGTCTCTAGCTTTGAATATATACTAAATAATAATGTGTGATAAGACTTCAATGTAATCAATTAACGTTTAATGTGTTTTATTACTTTATTATGTAAAGTTAAAATAAGTTTATATTAAAAATAATGTAATGCATGATGGAATTTGGAATATACACTGTTTTACATAGATAACATATTTTCTATCTTGCGACTTCTAATTATTAAAAAATATCTGTCTTTAAAATACAAACAGTTGTACCATAATTAGTTCAAATGCAGTATATTCATACTTTGTCAAAAATCCTGTATTGTTATTTATGAAATGATATTTAAAGACTTATTCATTAAGGAAATTTTTTAATTCACGTATCTCAATCAATTTAATACAATGTAGTGTACTTTTAGTGTTATTAATTTTTATATCTTTAAAATGTTCACAAATTTATAATTCTTTTCAGATGATAAGTGTTACTGTCACCAACTTAACTAGTGATATTGGACCTTCAACATTAACACCAGTGAAGTCTTTAAATTCATCTCCATTTAATTTGTTGACTGTGATAATAATTGTAGTTTTATTCTGCTTAGTATTTCTTATTGTAAGCATTGCATCATATTTTTTTAATCAACTTAAATTTATTGATTTTATTCTCCTCTTCAGGTTATAATTGCTATACAAAGAAAGAGAAGACTTGATAGACTAAGACACTCATTAATTCCATTTTATTCATTTGATGCTAATGAAGAAGAAGATTGGGATTCAGATTTATTAAATAACGAAAATAGTAGTCCAATGATTCGAGTAAGTGTTTTATAGCGTTTTACTAATGTTTTAAGTTTTTTATAATATACTATTATAAAAAATATTTGTACAATAATTTTAGATCTTTAAAATATGCCTTAAAAAAAATTATGAAATCCTTATTTTGTGGCCTTATTTGCACCTATCTTTTCCTTTTGAAATCTATAATTTCATCTACTTTTTTATAAGTAAATATAATTATGATATTTAATATTAATTTATTTAATATACATTTTTTTAAACTAATTTTTTTATACTGCTCAAGTAAAAAGAAATATTAAATATCAAGTTTTGTAAAGACTAGTCTTTTCACACATATCAGTTTTCTTTAATGTTGTATAATGTTTTTTGGATTTTTTGACAGCATAGTCAAACATTTAGGCACCAGGGAAATTTTCACAGCTGGCATGAGAGATTTAATCCTATCCAAAGGTTAAACTTATACCAAACATTTATTATAGTGCTTGGAGTAGTATTTAGTAGATCTTTTATTTTTTCATCACCAATTTATAAATCTGTGTACTTCAAATTTGTTTATGTTGTTCAATTTTAACTTTATTTAGTAAATTTTTTTGTTTTAAAAGATTATATATATTTAGTTTAGATATAAATATTTATTAAATTATGTATTTGTTATGTTCTTATACCACTTAGTAATTTATTTTTTGCATCATAATAATTTTTACCTAAAATAAAGGAACTATTTATTTAATTTTGTTTAAATATTGTTTTTAAAGAGAAACAATAAAAAAAATATGGATGTTTTATATGTAAAATTAAACAAATATTATGTAAATTAAAGTATTTTACGATTTTTTTGGTTCAAAATTTTTCCTAATGGTTTTTTATTTGTAATAAAGTTTTTATAAACTTTATTTAATTTTTATAGTTATGAAAGTTGTACAGTTATTAATTCCATTTCCCTGTTTTATAGAAGTATGGTATCTATAACTCATACTGGCTCTGGGTGTTTTCTTTTAGCATTTACTAAAAAATTTAACTGAATTACATGTCTAAAATATTATTTTTACTATCAATTTAAAAATATATAATTTTTTTATATTTATATTTAACAAATGAATTTCTTTTTAAAGAAAAATTTAGAATAAAGGTAATATTTAACTAAAAACAAAAATTTTTATCATTAATTATTACAAATTGATTACGCAGCTAATTTTTTTATTTAAGTTAGATATAACTAATATTTGTTTTTGACATATTTTAGTGTTGTTTCATGTTTTTTGTTGTTAGTTATAAATTTTGTATTTATTGAAAAAATTAAAACAAATTAATTTATTTTTAGAGCTATGGATCAGTAGAATTAAACGTGATGTTTTCAGAACCTGAAAAGAGGAGATCAAAGTTATTATAGTTTTTTTTTTGTATCTATAAAAAGAAAAAGTATTAGCATTAAAAAAAGCCCGTTTTTCAGTTTCTATCACAAAATAAAAGTTAAGAACTATGGTTAGTTATTACTTATGAGCTATTTAAACTTTTTTTTTTTTTTAGTGATTCAAATATAGTTTTTAATTTATTTTTATATTGCAAACTGTTAATTACAAATATCACATTTAGTATAATTTTAAATTTCATACTTCTCCATTAAATAAATGTTTAACAAAATTAAATTATGCTATTTATAATATGTATAATTTTTAATATTACCCGGTTAATTAAATTTATATTAAAATTGCTATATATGCTATATGCTTTTTAATTTTAAATTATAAATTTAAAATTAATTAATGTGTACATGATAATCATTAAAATAAAATTTTCCCTAAAGTAAAATTTATGTAATACTGTTATTTTGTATAATTGTTTTGTTTGTGAATGTGAACTATATTTACTTTGCTTTTATATTGATCACATTGAGTATTGTTGTTACATTTTAACAAATATATAAGTTTGTATTTATATATTTAACAAATTTTTTTTATTTTTCTGTTTTAACTAGTCAGTTAATATTAAAAAGTAATTATTTAATATGATCTTGCAATTTCTTGCATAGTTTTTTTTTTTTTACAAAATTGTGATTTACCATTTAAGCAACTAAATTGTTATTCATAAATTGATATATATAGACTGAATTATTTTAATTGATAAAATGTTATAGTGAATGGAGTTAAATCTTTGGCTGTACCACATTCATTTAGTTTTTGCTAAGTTTTATTTAAATTAAGTTGTTATTGTTTGCTTCTTGTTTATAAGTACATTTATTTTTTGCATTCTAAATTAAATTAATTATAATAATGAAAAAAAACCTTTTCTTATAGAAATGTATAATATTTATTTTTATAATATGGTAAAATAAGTATGAACGATAAATTAATATATTATTTTAAGATGTTATTAAGTAAAAAAATATTATCATCCAACAATTGTTTCCTTCAAACTCAGTATTTTTTTTATTATTTTCATACGATGGAGATCACTGCAATGATCTAAGCCTATTGGTTAAAAACTAATGAAAATTGATTATTATTTTTTTATTGTCCTATTAAAAATTTTTATCTGGAAAGTACACATCAAGTCATGTTAACCACCTGATTTCTATTTTAACCTCCAATAAGATATTTTTCCGAACATTGTTTTCATGAAAAAATGTAATTAATAATTTTATAATAAATTACACGAAAATAAAAAATAAATAAACGTATCAATGTGTTTTTACTTTTTCTATATACATCATCATCTCCCTGTATCTATCCCAACTATTTTCATGATTTGACAAGATTTTTATACCAAATGTCATCTTGACGCAACCCTATTATGGCTGAGGAGCCAGGCAAACAAGTGTGTATCATTAAAGTTACCATGTGGTCACGTATCCAGTGATAAACTACAAACAACGGAACTGATCATTAGTAATAAGATGGCTACTGAATAATCCACTGCGTCATACCACGCTCATTATTCTTATGTTGTATTAAAAAATAATGAATTAGACAATTTGCTTGAAACAAGAAAGATCTTAAAAATTTAAATTTGACTATTTCTAATATTCGTCTCCCTATAATCATCATAGCATAATCACATAACCGCCACTGCATTTCTCAAAATATTTCATTTGATAACTTAGGGTGTTATTTATAAAAAAATATTTATTATGACTTAATATTTTGTAAAAACAAAATATAAGCTTTTTTTGACTTTAAATACTCGCATATTAAACGCTAGTTGACTGGCTAAAAAAACTATTGATACACTAAACAAACAAAAAATATTGAACATTTTTTTAGTTTTTCTGAGGTATAGAAAAAAGTAAAAATTTTGGTGTAATATGCTTGACGAGGAACAGAAATCAATTTACGAAGGCTCAATAAAAATTGCTGAACCAGAACCAAAGTCTGAATTGGACGTGAAAAAAGATGACCCGTTAGGCCACGTAATCAACAGTAAATCTTTGAAAACTTCCAACAATGATATCGTGGAAAATGAGTTTTCAGTGATAGCCAATGATGAATTCTCATGTAAGCGAAAAACGATTGAAATGTTCTCTCAATTAGTGTCTGCCAGCGATAGAGCTAAGACTAACGTTTGGTTGCTAAAGATTGACTCATGTGAAGATTATCAGTTGCGATTAGCGTATATTAAGTTTCTGTTACATGTTGTGGCTGGTGGCCACTTAGTAGAACCTTTTAGTAGGATTCCGCCTGATACACCATTGAAACCGCTTAACGAAATAGTAGATCCTAATTTGTTAATAGGATTAACTCGTGATAAATCAATTATGGACACGGCACAACTTTTTACTCCAAGAAGACCTCCCACAAAAATCGTCGATAAAACTTTTTATGATTATCAGTTAAAACCTAGAGATGGTACGTTATGCTACGCGGCAGCGTTCAGTTTTCCTTAGACAAACGACAATGAAAGACATACATCTTTAATGCAAATTAGCTTAAATAATAAATAAAATTCTTTAAACAATCAGAAATTCTATTGAAATACAATGTAAATAAATTTCTCAATGTATTTTATTGGAATTAATTATTGTCTAACTATTAGCGACCAAATGGTTTTGCCATAGGAAAAGACGAAAAATCTTTTTAGTCCATATCCTTGAATATCCCATTGACTTTCCCTACATATAAACAATAACAAACACTTGAATTTTATTCTGCCGAATATGTAGAATTAATTTTTTCATACATTACAATACTACTTTGTGTAAGAACACTTGTAACTATGTTCTTATTACTTGTATTATACACGTTTTATTTCAATTTACTTAATTCGTAATACATATTAATTAGCATAGACGGAGATGCTGATGTGTCAATGCTACTCGTCTGTAGCCCGGAGCTACTGACGTCGAACTAACCAAAGACAGTTGTGTTTGTGTGGCCGTTATAAATATAAATTATGATGCTATCACTTTTGTCTTTTTTATATTATTAATAACTTAACTTGTTTTGTTCAACGACTCATCTATCACCAATTGTCATCACAGCCAACCAACTCCGTTTCGCTTGGATATACCTACTAATAAACTGTACTAGGATTCAGGTGGCATGTATTGTATATTACATATAACTTATATTTACTGAACATATATTTTGACCATCTAAGTCTATTTTTTATCATTTTATCTACGATTAACGTTATATTAACACTCCCTTTTATATATTTACTCTTTATTCTATTTTCTCTATTCACTCCACTCATTCGTCTAAGCATTCTCATTCTCTGCTCTATTCTCTTGTCAACCGCCAAACACTCTGAACAATACATCATAGTTGGTCTCACTACAGTCTTAAAGAATTTACCTTTCAGCCTCATTGGAATTCTTTTATTGCATAAGACGCCAGTCGCTTCTCTTCACTTCGACAACCCGCACTTAATCCTGTGTCTTACATCCTCATCTATACCACCGACCTTTTGCAAAACTGATCCTAAATACTTAAAAATTTCCACCTCTCCTATCACTTTCTCACCTATTGTAACTGATCTTATTTTACCTACCTCGATTCTCCTTTGTCAAACTCGTACACTATATACTCTGTATTACTCCTACTTATTCTTTAATCCCTTTCTTCAAGAGCTGATCGCCACACCTATGGCCTTTGATTAATTTCCTCCATATTTTCTTCTATTAAAACTATATCGTCAGCAAACAACATGCACCACGGCACCTCTCCTTGTATTTCTCTAGTAATTTCATCCATCAATATAGAAAATAAGTAAGGGCTTAAAGCTGAACCTTGGTGCACTCCTACTCTTACCTGAAAACCTTCTGATACTCCTCCTGCGCTTTTTACCCTGGTACAAGTGCCATCATACATATCTTCTATTATATTAATATATCTTTTCGGGACTCCTTTTCTCATTAATACTCACTTTAAAACCTCTCTCGGTACTCTGTCATACGCTTTCTCCAAATCTATAAATACCATACATAGCTTTTTATTCTTTTCCCTAAACTTTTCTATTAGTTGCCTCACACAAAATACTGGCTTCATTGTTGACTTACCAGGCATAAATCCAAACTGGTTTTTAGATGCTGATGTCTCATTTTTTCATTCTCTCATCTATTACCTAAAATGGTATAACTTTAGTAGTTTTTGTAGTAAATAGCCCAAAATTTTTTTTTTTATAAATAAGTGTTCTATATATTTTTAAGACCTATATATGTATTTAATGACAATAATTTTTTTATTTTTTAGTATTTTAGATTAGTTTCTGGATGTGTACGTTAAAATCAAACAAAATAAAATAAAATAATAATGGTGCCTAACACAATAATTGTAACGTCCAATTAAATAGGATTTACATCATATTTTAGCACTTACAAGACATTTTTATATACCTCCTAAATTAATTTCGTTCACAGCAACAAAGTTTAATTATTGATAGCATGCTATAAAATTATGTTATCACTAAATAAAAATAATATATGAAATTGTCATTTACAACACTATATAGTTAGTGTCATTTACAAAAATAGTTTTTTAACTGACGATATAACTAGTGATTATTATCACAGCAAATTAATCATTTTTTAGCTTAACATTAAAACTGTATCAGATTATGAAATTATTTCATTCTCGTATAATTTAAGTACTACTTTTAATTAAAATAAACTATTTTCATTTTTTTTTTTTTTTTTAATGTTTGTATTTGTAACTGGATTTTCTAAACTATTGGTTGTTCTTTGCTGCTTGATACTTTTTGAAAAGCTTCAGTGTTTCATTTATTTGTGTTCTATTTTATTCAAATGATAAATAATTAGTCTAAAAACTACAGGGTTGATTTTATAATTATCAGTGAAGTATTTAGGAGGCAAATTTTAATCAATTTTTTTTTATTTGTGTTGTGAGTTTACAAGCGTTATTCATCTATTTATATGGACGATATATTATACAATTGGTAAATACATATGAAATACATTTTTCTACGATTTGTTTAAGATTGCGAGGTCAAAGGAACTAAATATTATACTTTATAATTATTATTATAAGTAATATTAAAAATATTTTAATTTAATTAAAAATGTTACAAACTTTAACTAGCCATTATTTACTTGTGAATAATTTCTCAGTTTGACCATTCGTCCATAATCTTCACGTCTCTTTACATTTTCGCACTGAATAAACACCAGTAATTATAAATTAGTAACTATTTATTTATTTACAAATATTAAACTGTTAACTCAAGCAACTCATTATATTTATAAAATTATGAATATAAATTTAAAAAAAGTTGCGATTGTTCATTTATTTAAAGTGTTAATTTTACAGTGGTCGAATTTCATTCGAACTAAATGAAGAATTTTTCTCTTCTTGCAAAATAAATATTTAAAATTTGAATAAAATTTAAAAAGCTTAGTTATCACATAAATTTTAATATAAATAAACTATTATTATTATTAACATTACGGGCAACAGTTAAAAAAATACAGTATTTATTTGACAGCAAATCAACTTAAAATTACGATATTAACCTTAAATATGAATATAATAAAACAAAAGTAAACTTATACTAATAAGACTGAAATCAAGGTCACTATTCAAGTGTAATCTCATTTCTTAAATACGGACTATGCGAAAATGATTCATTTTAAACTAAATAATGAAAATAAATGATATTTTTTCAGTAAGTCAAGAAATATTTTAAGTAATTATTTATTTAAATAATATATTAAAAAAATATTTTTAATGAGTTTCAGGAAAATAAAATTAAGCTATGGTTAAATTTTTTAGATTAAATAGATACTTTTCGAAATTAAGGATACAATTTACACTTATGTAAAACATGTTGCTTCATATTTGAACATTTTTTTTAAATTTTATGTAGAGATATAAATTGTTCATATCAATACATTTTGGCATTTAAATTCGAAATACTATAAGCTAATTTAAATACATACATTCTTTTGATGATAAATCTCTTCAATAGATATATTTTGTTTTACTCTTTTGAAAAAATAATAAGGATATCAATTTAAATTTTTTAACGAGTAAAATAAATGTTGAAATATTTTAAATATTATAATAGAATCATAAAAATTAAATTTTGTTTGTCTTATCATGAAAATAAGTGATCGGCATAGTAGCGAAGTTAGAAATATTTTAATTTTGTGAAGAAAAAATTAAAAGCATAAAATACATTTATGTACTCACCTCAGAAGTACAACAAAACTAAAAAAAAACTTAA